AAGAAGTGAATAGGTGAGTTTTTATGGGTAGAAACATCCAATGGAGGGGGCTTTTTTGCCTCTTCAAACTAGCTAATATAAAATTTCTCAATAAAAATATATATTATATTTTTTTTCAGAATCTTTGACCACTTCTATATTTTTGATCGATCTCATGTCTTTACCCATATCCATTTTCGATAAAATTATATTGATCACGGGTATAGTTATACCAATCTGCGGATAATTAATTTCGATTTGAAAAAAGAATCTCTATAGTGTAAATAACCTAAAGAATTGTTCATAACCTACCAAACATATTATAACATCCATTCATGTAGATATCACAACGAAAATCGTTAATAAATATGATCTCAACCCACGAATGAGTCTTTCAGAGCTTAATAAATATGCGCCAGAATTTCTTAAAGACCTTACTGATAATAGGAAGAGAGATCAGGCTCGATGTCGTCTTCGAGAAGGATATAAATTTAACAATGATCAAGTAAGTATATTAGTACCTATCCAGAAAAGTGGGAAGGGTAAAACCATAAATCTGATAACGTTAGGGAATCAAAAGTTACTTACTTCTCTGGATCAGGAGGAAGAGAGTGTCAGAGAAACAGCCAAACAAATTTTGCAAAATAAACACAGGTTTAGTGAGGTCCAAGTAAATACCTTATGTTCTATCCGTAAAAAACAAAGGCAAACCCGTAAATATTGTGATTTTTAATCAACCTTTAAAAGGGATGAAGAAAGAGACTATCGAGGAATGGCACAATGGATTTTACGAGATAAACTTAGCACTAGAAATGTAAGAGCCGAAGCCCTTGCAATAGCTTTATCAGCACCAAACCCCAATGCTGGTTCATCACGCCTCTCTCGTCTCCGTAGAGAATTAAGAAATCTTAATGATCCATTTCAAATAATAGAGGCCACGAAATTTCCTGATATTACAGAAGAAGCTAACAAAATCCAAAAAGATAATAAAAAAAAAAAGCCGAAACTAACCCTATTAATTATCCAGATCATTTTACATTGGAATCAGTCAAAGAGAGATTGGATAGTTACGATATATCCACTTTACCTGATTATCAGGCTCTTACTGATGTTATGATAATAGTTTGTATACGTCCTGCTGAACTTATAACTTTATGCATTACAGACGCTGGAGTGACAGGTTACGCAAAGAACAGGGGACAACCAGACATCCCTCGAAAATTTACATCTATGGAAAGAATCAAAAACGAACCAAGGAACTTCTTATTTGGATTCAGAATTCTATTTCTTCTGAACGAATTGGGAATCCAGGTAAACCAGGAGTTAAATTGTTTAATAAATTCTTAAAAAGTATAATTTAATTCCTAAACACTTACGTAAACTTGGAGCGGTTTATGGTGCTGTTGTACATGCTAAGAGTCCCCACATTTTATAAGAATAGCTTGGAGTGTTTACGTCACAACCCTAACAACTAAAATTCTCCAGTTCAGAATTACGTTGTAGTGAATTATCGTCCGAGAAACACCTCTCCTGAACATGCAAGACCATTCAAAATCTACGATCAAGATTAATTAAAACTAAATTAGATATATGAAATAAGAGCAAATATATAATGAGTTATAACAGAGTATTGCAAAGGAATGGCCTAGAGGGCCCACGAGATAGGTTAAGTGAATATGGTATAAATTATATCATTAACAATATTAAAACATCAGAGGCATGGTTACGGTTTGCAAAATATTATCCACCAAAGTATGTATGCAAGCGTTTATTAAAAATAGGATATGAAATAAATAATAGAGATTATTAGGGAAATTTTTTATTCGTATCAAAAATAATTTAACCAGCCATAAGCAAATAAGCAATGACCCTAATTATAGGGATTTTAAAGTTCAACTAGCATTATATAAAGAAAATCGTGCATCATTAATTATCCAGCAGACATATCGTTTATGGAGAAGACAAATAAATTCAGCTAAAATAATCCAGCATGCAGTAATTAAATGGCTCTATCGACCAGGTGGATTATTTATGAAGCAAGCCAAAGATCGATATTGTCAACGAGTAAAGTTACTTTTAAAATCTGATAACTATACATGTGAACGAATTATCTAAATATTAATTATTTTTTCGATTGAAGATATACATTACTGAGAATGATGCAACAGCTTAATATTTTTAATATACCCAAGTTACTAGAACAGATCTTACATTTTTTAGAAATTGATCGATCCCTTATCCCGCTTTGTTTGTTAGCCATCTTTGGCATCACTGCGGTGCTCCTATTTTATGGAGACGTATTGAGTTTTTCAACAAAGATTATAAGCAGAGCCGGCATGCCCTAAAGTTGCCTCGTGTTCTTCTAGGCGATTAATAAACTTTAAAAGAGTTATGTTGCAAAAGATAAAACCTCTCTATTGCTCAAAGACGGTGTATCTTAGATTGGAAGGTTTAAAAATTTCAGATGCTTTGATTAATGCAATTCTACGTTCATGCCAAAATATATGCTTTTTCAATCTTGATCGAAGTAATGGATTTTCTAATATACCAATTATAAAAATTGGAAGATTTATCCAAAATTATTACATCTGAGTCTTAATTCGTGTGAATGTCTTACTGATAGATGCATCACTGAAATAGCACAATCCTGTCCAAGTTTAAATTTTATAAGTCTGGCTTCTTCATATAATTATAATAATATTACTGATAAATCCATAGTTGAAATAGTACAATATTGTCCCCATTTAGAATATTTAGATCTCTCTGGCCAGACTTCAATCACGGATGAATCAATTTGTGAAATTGCTCGCTCATATCCAAAACTTAGACATCTTGAATTGCAATTCTGTTCAATTGGTGATAAAGCTGTTGAGGAGATATCTCGCAACTGGATTAGTTTGAAATATCTTGGTTTAGAGGGATGTAAGAGGATTAGAAAAGAAGTGGTAAAAAAACTTAATCCTAAAATTAAAATCGAACATCCAGATTATTCAGATGAGATGTGGCCTGATTCTGGTCTATTTACAGTATACCTATTCCAATGTTTACTGGTTCATTTAGAAATTACAGTATATCGAAATATCATCAAATTAAATTAATTCAGAACGTCGAGTTGGTATGTTAAACATTCTTGCTCGAGCCGTTGATCAAGGATTACATCAATCGTGGCAAGGACTTTAGGGTGGATAATTAATTATAGTGAATGCCTAGTTATTGGATCAATATTCATATCAAAGTATTGGGTGTGTTCATCCCCAAATGTTAGTATCGGTGCAAGAGGGATATCTTTAAATCCATTTTTTAAATGGGATAAAACTCGGCTAAAAAGTTCATTAGATGATGGTATCGGCTTCAAAATTTTTTCGCTGACACTTCTGTTATTTTGATTACCCATAAAATATGAATGAGATCCCCACCTTCATAGTTATATCCCGTTCTAAGCAAAATCGATATTCTTTCATTATAATATCGGCCATCTTCTCCTGATCTGCTATCAATTCCCGAAAAAGCTGTTTATCTTCCTCCGTAACTGGAAGACAAATTTCTTCAGGATCAAAGCCTATATACTTGGAAATCCGATCACGTAATTCGTAAGACAATTTTTGTTGCTATAATACGTAATAAATATATTTAATTTTTCGTTTAATGAATTTTGTTTACATAATATGTGAAAGCAGTCTAGCATCAGCCATGGATAATTTTTTTTTTCGACAATAATTGCGATTTGTATATCCAACTAATTGATTGTACCCTTATATTGTGATCACAACCAGTCTATAGGGTGACTCTCTGAGTCATAAGGGGTTGTTTATCGTCGCGGCAAGACGCCATTTTCATAAATTTGTGTATATGATATATTATATTTTTTAGCAAGAATTGGTAATGCATTTACTTTACCTCTAGCAGTAATAATATCACTAATTGCTTCGGGTTATAAGTGAGTTGCATCTGTTCTTAATCTCCTAAACATTTATATACTGATTAACTTGGAAATATTCACAATGTAATGTAATAAAAAATCAGTTTAAATAATTTCAAGAAAGCAATGTTTTAAATCAAAGAAAATCGGGTGCACAATACCTCTTCTTTATTAAAAAAATGACAAATGGTGATCATACAAATAAACAAATAGAAGCTTTGCCTCAGCTCCATTATGAGTCAGATCGTTATTGATCTAGAATATTGAAGTAATTTTTCTTAGTTTCATTGGAGATCGTGTTATACTATAGCGTATATATTCAGAAAAACCAAGCTTCTCATATAAATAGAAAAAATAATTAATATTCGTGCTGGAATTCCCGCAAAATTCGAAATCTGAAATTCTCAGATTTCGTAATTCGTGCAACCTGTATATTCGATTTTTTTAGCATTTCTATCCAATCATAAATTAACATATATATAACGACTTACTGATTATCAATGACACAGTATCTCTGATAACTTGTTTACATAACTAACGCCTAACCTAAACTTTCTCACTATAAACCATGCTATCTGATATCAAAAGAGCCTGGACCTGGATTCGAATATTTTTTGAACACTCCTTGCCAAGACTGGGACGCGGTTAAATATCTTGAGGCATTAAAAGATTGCAATTTAAGTTTGAAAAAAGCGAATGTAACACGAAGATTCAGAACACAATTGCGAGAGATAAACAAACAAGGCACGGAAGAAGAAAAGAAAAATGCAATACGCCTCGAAAGTCAATTTAACGTTAGTATATCTTCATGTAACTGCAGAATAGTTTGTCACATTCAGTAGCCACCCACTTCTTTCGCCTCCATACTTCGTCTCCAATACTACAGCTACCCATGGAACTTCGTCTTCGCATGGTTATGGACTTCGCCTCCGCTATTGGCTACAGCTACCCATGGAACTTCGTCTTCGCATGGTTATGGACTTCGCCTCCGCTGTAGTCAGCTTGTGACTTTCTATTCTGCGACTTTCTAACTTGCAATTTTTGGATAACCTTTATTAATATATATACATATTATATCTTTGTAAGACCGAAATTAGGAAACCGGGGTCAATCGACAATTTTTAGTTGAAGTATAATGAAGATATCAATTTTACGAAACATGAAAAGATGAAGTTCAACAGTACATTTTTATCTTGCGATGGAGTACAGGTTGGTTGCATTGGCAATAATGTTCAAGAAAGACTCAAACGAGATTATAGACTCCATGAACAACCGAGTGTTGAAGAAGAACCATCAGCAATACTAACGAAAAGGGTGAGATCGAGTACAGTAATTCTTCAATGGCTTTAAGAAACTGATAACTTATTGGCTTGTTCTGTGATTTAGACGAAATTAGATGAAAAATTTAACGCAACGAAGTCTTCCTCTGAGCTTCTTCCCTCTACGAACGTACAATATACATCCACTATTCCCAATTCTAATGATGTGAAAACTAAAGAGCTTGAGGCCGATGAAGAAATTAAATTTGATATAATGAACGTTTCAATGGAACTAAATCGTGAACCAACAGTTAAAGTATGTCAAATGTCAAATACTAATTTCTTTATTTCGGGTATCTCATAGCTTGCTTCTGTTTTTTAGTGGGAAGTTGGCTGTATTAATATAACCGATAGATTTCGGCAATATCAGAAAGATGTTTTCCAGAAGGCGGTGAGACAGGGTTTAAAATATGAGAATATTTTCGAACTCTTGTAAATATTTGAAACATGCAACATTTGACTAGTACTGCTATCCTATTAGGGTATATTAAGATTTTTTTTTTCCTCGTTGCATTTAGAGCGTTGTCATCAATTATGGTGCTCTGTTGGTCATGTCCGTACCCCATGTTCACGAATCAAGAATGGAAAGATATAACGAAAACCAATCCTTATACTATAAGCGAACCACCGCTTCCACCGGAGATTTCATCTTCTCTTCGTGATACAGCTAGTAAACAATTGGTTGGCGGAGATCATGGATTACGGAAACGCGGGGTTGAATAGGATGATTGCACTCATGTTTAACGACCTGTAGGTTTACCCGTTCTATATGTTATTTATCATTCATGAATTTGTGATTACGTACATAAATTCTTTCAACGCATTACAGATATTATAATATCCCAGAGGTTGCTCCGTCGAAGTTGTCCGAGGAAGAACACTGTGATATGTTCATTTATCCCCTTACTCGTTTGTTTCGTGGATCCGAAAAAGAATATGAACTTAGACTAAATCGTGCCAATGCAGGTTCAAAGACGAGACCGGATCTTTCTTGTATAGTGAATGATGTACTAATCTTAAATTCAGAGTTTAAGCCACAGGTTGCACTTCATTACAACGGAAAAAGGATAGATTGGAAGTTCATTTAAAAGCTCGGAAATCAATTAATCAGCAATTACAAAGTAAGGGTGGTCCAGGTGAATCCGTCATGTTTCTAAACATGGGTATGTATGCTTGCAATAAATTACAAGGGAGTTTATTGTTTTTTATAACATACTTTTACAACCAGGTGATTCAATAGAATAATTTTTTATTGATCTAAAGTACGATGGGTTGTACCGCTCCTGGCCATTTCTCACCACCAAACTAGTGATCGACAAGGCTACAATCCCATTAGCAGAGTTCGCAATCAGCCATTTTGTGGCTTTGGAGGTATGATATATTTTCTTTGAGATTATAATGAGTTATTTTCTCACAAATTTCATTTACTCAGGAACGTGTTGAAAAGATTGCGAAAGACTTCAAATATCGGAGTAGTCAATTCACTCCACCTGCACAGATGTCCTTTGTGCGCAAACTTCCAGACTCTCCGCAAGTAAAGATGTTATTGCAATAAGGTCAATTTATAATAATAAATAAAACAATGATTGTTTATATAATCGCTTAATAGTGATTTTTAGATCAATTGTTTTTTTGCTTTGTGATTTTTACGTGAATTCGTTGAGCAAGATTTTTAATCGACTCTAGAGACCACGCAAAATCTATAATAATCAGACAGCTAATTCTTTTATTCAAAATACCACGAGTTCTACCTAATCACCTACCAATATGACTATTTTTTATTTATGTTTTTTTTTTAACGGGATTACTAGCATTGAATTCAACGCGTCTACTCGTGAGTAACGATACGAGCTTGTCATGAAATCTGCTTTAACGGATTTAAAAAAGATATTTATAATGCAATTGAACTGGAAAACATTTGAATATATCTCAATGTTTATTGTGCTACATACTCCCAATGATATTTTTATAGCAGAAATTCATCACAATTTGTATTGGTTTTAAAATGTAAATATATCACTGATTCATCATGGATAAATAAAGATTTGCGCATATATTTATTGTAAATATATCAATTGTAATTATTTTTTTTCTTGGCGAAAGTGATATGCGTTCCAAATTGGAACGGACATATTTTTTTTATTTTATTTTGAATAGTTACATTTAAAAAATAATGGCAAATACACAGTCTAAAATCGATTCATTAGAGGAACAGATTTCTAAGCTCATATCTGAGAATGCTGAACTTCAAAGAGAGAAGTCTGAATTCTCGGCTAAGGAAGCAGAGTTTATAGCCAGAATTGCGGAATTAGAACGGAGCGCAAAAGAAAGTGCTAATAATGAGAAGCGAAGTCAGATAGAAAATTCTAAACTTAAGGGTAGGGAAACGAAACTAGAATGTGATATCAGGGAGATCAAACAGAAACAAATTATGCATCTCGATAAAAAGAATGCGCAGATCACTGAATCGATTTCTTTGGATTTATCTATTTCTCCTAAATTAAATTCTGATAACATCAAGAAAAGACAGAATCTCGAGTCTCCGATTCATGTTCGACTGAATTATCCATATGCGTAAAGTCTAAATCATCAGAAGATATGGAAATGGATGATTTTCTAATTCGTAAAAAAAGGAAACAGTTAGTAATTTGATGAGGGATAGAAATAGAGAAAAGAAGCTTCAATTCTTCTGAAATTTCCCAAAATACTATAACCCATGACTAAAAATAATTCAATCGGAACCTGAAACTTTTAATGAATTGAGAAAATAACCATATCGGATGCAAAGTAAATTCACTATAACGAAAAAGTGGAGCATGGTTTGAGGTTTGAATTGTCCATTTGTATCAAAAACATTAACAAAACTAATGATATAATTGATATACAGATTTCCGAATTATTTACAGAAGCAATTATAAGAGTATCTAGTGAGGCTACAGCGGAAAATATAGCTGATTTTTTGACTTGCTATGAAGACTAGACAAAAGGAGATTTTATACTGGTACTATTATTATAAAGTATACGAGGATAGAATTAGAAATATTAGAACCATAGATAAAATTGATGACAAATCTGCAAGAAAACTTGTATATAATGAAATAAAATCACTTTTACCTGATATTACTGATGTGAACTTGCGTAAAATAACTTTCAGAGCTAAAAGAGCTTATATAATGTTTGAAGGTATAGGAATAGATAAAATTAGCCAGGTATCTTACAGTGAAAGCATTATTTTAAGTTTAAAGGACATTCAAATTCAAAATATAATAAGCGATTTTTCTAGCTACAAAGTAATTGCCTCCAGCAAGTCAACTACTATGAATGAAAATCGAAAAATAATCTCCGTTCCAAATTGGAACGCACGTGTGGCTGAACAAACTTTACCAAAATTGAGGTAGATATTACAACTACTCCTTCCATACAGATATCACGTACCTCTAGCTACGAAGTGACTGCCTCCAGCAATTCGATTAATGAGATAAGCGAGAAAGAAAAGTCTTTACAAGAAACTGTAATAAGTGTGACTGCCTCTGGCAATAAATCCCGACCTCCAATTTCAATCTTACCCGATGATCCAGAAGAGAAGCGAATATCAGTTATTAACAAAGTACTAGAATGATTTCCTGATTATCATTAAAATATAGTACCGGGAATAACGATTACTTTAACTGTTCAATGACTTGTCATAAAAAAGAAAATATAAGAGATAATATACAGGGTTTATGGGGTAATGGTGATTATGTTAATCAGAAACTATCATATTGGATGTTATAAAAATTATCAAAATTCAATCCAAATAGTAATGGTAAAAGCATAGTAATTATTCTCGGACTTATCTATTGTTGACTTAATATTATATAGCTGGATTCATTAATATATTTTTTATACTCTGGATTAAATTTGAATCATATTATTCTAGAGTATATACTGTAGTTATTAAATCAAATAGGTTAAATCCAATATAATTGCATAATCTCATATAATTAATAAATAAGACATAAACTGACTCAAAAAATTGTCCCAATAATTAAAACTTTTTTGTTTATAGGGTATATTTTTTGAGCGATTGATTTAAAAAAACTAAAAATATAATTAATAAAAGATTATGATTATATCTTTTGAAGAGTATATTATTTAATATTATTAATTAATAATATTACTAAAAAATAAACAATAAAATTATTATGTTCATCAGTACAATTTTTTGTTAAATTCAATTTATAAATTTAATAATTTGTATACCCCCCTTTGCTTTAATTATTGCTGTAATTCTTTGTAGCATACTATCAATAAGTTCTATACTTTCTCTATAGAAATTTTATTTCATTCTTGTTCAATTTGTTCCCAAAGATTATTTATACCATTAGGTATATTTGTGTGATTTGAAAGTTTTCTTTTAAAATAATTCCATGGATGTTCTATAGAATTCAAATCTGGTGATTGCGAAGGCCAATATAATACTCTAATTTCATTATCTTCTAACATTTTTTAGTTTTTTTGCTAAATGTTTTGCTCATTGTCATGTTGAAAAATAATATTTTTAGAATTTAATTTATACTATTCTATTGTACCTAAAAGATGTTCTTCTAAAATATTACAATATAATTTAGCATCCATAGTAGTTATTATACAAACTAAGCTTCTTATTCCTTTTGTTGTTATATATTCCCAAACCATTAATGATCTTCCACCATATTTTACAGTTGGTATCACGTGATTGCTTTTAAGTGATGAATTTTGTTTTTTCCAACCCCATTTTTTGACCATATGATCCAAAATGATTGATTTTAATTTCACACATCTTAAATTTGCAAAAAAATATCAATCTTAAACAGTAAAAGACTGGAATAAGATTATCTGATCTGATGAGTTTAAATTTATAATCTTTGGCTCAGAGGGTTGTGAATATTGTTAAAAATAATCAAAGGAACAATTGCAAGACAATCATTCATTTGATGGTGTTGGCAATATATGTCATATCTATGGAATAATGGATAGTACTCTATACAAACAAATCTTGGAGAAAGATCTTTTGAAAACTATCAGGTGGCATAGAATGGATAAAAAAGGATCATTTTTCAACAGGATAAAGATCCAAAACATCCCCCCATACAACAAAACAATGGTTTGAAGAGAAAGGTATTAATATGCTCAATTGCTGACTCAGTCTCCTGACTTAAACCCGATTGAGCATCTGTGAAATGAGATAGATTGCAGTTTAAGATGTTTAGAGACTCCTGTTAGAACACAAGATCAGTTATGGGAAGTGGTTCAAATGATTTGGATTGAACTTGAAGATGATGTATGTATGAATTTAATTACCAATATGCCAACCATATAAACAATGCAATCAAGGTGAATGGAGGCTATACGAGATGGTGATTGATGATCTATCAAGTTTTTTTTATGTTCAATTTATTTTTTTTTTATGTTTGATATGTATGAGATGAAAAAAAGGGAACAGTAAAAAAAAAATGCATCGCATGAATGACCTACAATAAAGAATAAAAAAAAATTTTTTTTTACGTTATGTGAAAAAATTTATATTATTAAATATCTTTACATATGATGAATCACAAAAGTATTTCATGACAATACAAATTTTATATCGTGATATATTATTATCTTAATTTTTGTGATCCAGTGATGCAATACTTTTGACCGCCACTGTATATGTTAATCCGCTATACCTTTGTGTGGGCCATTGGTGATTTGATGCACTGCACCTTTGCGTGGGCCATCAGTGAGGTGATGCGCTACACCCTTGCGTGGGTCATTAATGGTGTGATGCGCTACACCTTTGCGTGGGCCATCACTACACCTTCATGTGAGTTATTTGACATACAAATGTATTAGGCCTTGTGTAAGTCTGATTATGATTAGGGGTGGAAAGGTCTTCCATTATGGATGATTGCTTGAGGTTTGATGAGGGGATAGTATTTAGGATATTTGTAAGGGGTGATAATTGATACGCTACTTCTTTGCATATGCCATCTTCCGATGCTCTATCTGTCCTTCGCTGGTTATATTCATTATCAGCATAGTGGGACTTAGACAAGTATTATATAATCATGTATAAGCATTTAGAGGAAATACGAAATAATGTATAAGAATGATGTAAGAAAGTGACATTGACATGACACGGGGGTAGCATGGTGAGATACATCTTTCCCATATCGTTATTCCAAATATGTACAAATAAAGGATCCGAGTGAGAATAATGCATATAACTACTGAAAGTTCGTAAAAATGTGTACTGTAACCGTTTTACCAAGCGTCCACACACAGTGTAGCCCATTCAGTACATGGAGGTCCACTCTGGAATAAACGCAACCATTGTTTTTATTTATATTTATATGTAATTTTTAACGGAATATAAAATGAAGGTTGTAAAAAATTTATCGTGTCTATAAATAATAGATCCAAATATTCACCTATTTATTGAATAAAATTTAAAAAACAGAATTTAAAAAAATTCGTAAAACAATGAAATACAATTAAAAATCACAGACTATTTCCATTAGTAGTTATCGTTAAGAAATTTATCTACGTATA